TTCTATGATTCTATGATTCTATGATCAGTTAGTAACTCACTTCAAAAGGGAAAGATATGAACCAAGAGAAGCAAAGTTACTACTAAAAAGGCAGGAAATGTATGCTTGCTATGGAGCAAACCCGAGTTAGAATTATTAATTACAATCAGGGGCAACTACAGACACCTCAGCATTCACTGCCACTTACTCCCTCTCCCCAAAATACACTGTAACACAAACCACATCCAATGGCATAATCTATTGATGATTACAGAACAGCTGGGGCCGTGTGCATCTTAACACTAAACAAGACATTTCCACTACTCTCAATGTGCCACTCTGCTTCCCAGCAAATAAAAATTTAAAAAATCTTGCCCATTTTTTTTTTTTTCCATGCAGTGAACAATTTGCTGCAGAGTGCAACTTGCTTTTTTTCACACTAACCTACTTCCGGAAAACAGGATTTTCAGCTGGAATTCAAATTCCGATTTTCACTTCTAGGGCTAATACACCTGTTTATTCTCATGGCTGGAAAATGCATGGAATCTGAGGTGATACTATTTATTATTTCATGTCATGAGAGCCAAGGAAAGCACTCTCACATTTGGAGATTCCTTTTTGGAGTACGAAGGTCCTATATCACCCGCAATAAACTGATAACAGCACACATTTCTCTTTATAAACAACTTACCTGCTTTATGCTGAAACTTGATACAGTATAAATCATCGTAGGGTTATTTGTTATGTCATCGGGTCGTACCCACTTGGCAAACATAGCTTTTTGTTTGGGGGATAACGGTAACTTCCCACATTTATCACTAGATTTAAGAGATAAAACAGTAGAAATAAATAATTATTAGAAATAAAACAATAGCAGTTTAGAAAAGCTTTTCATGGTATGTCCAGTCATACATATGCCTGATAGATGGTGCAAAATATGTGCAGAACAATTACACAGCTTTGTATACAGAAAACACTAGTGCTAAGCTGTGATTTTTAGTGAAAAAAAAAGCAAAAATGCTAAAAACATGAAATAAATCCCAAAAGCTCCCTTCCTACAGGACTGAAGAGGAGAAGGGAATGCCAAAAAAGCCATTTATACCAGCAGAAACTCAAATTCTTCACTTTATTTCAATATGAGGAACTAATAATAAGAAGTTTATTCAGTTCTGAAAATATTGACGCTTGTCTGATTGACAAGCCTTTAGCAGAAAATTGAAAATAAAAACAACCCCAGGTGTCTTTGTCTATTATGGCTATGTAATCTTAACACATTATTTATTATTGCTTATGAATGGTCCTTTACAGAGGAAACGGCTATCACCTTCATTTTACAGGTAACTGAGGCAGAGGGAGCTCAACTCTTTAGGATGCAGCAGAATCAGGAAATAGACCCAAGTTGCCAGCCCAGCCCAATACTCCAAAAAGCCAAATACAATGTTGTCCTTATAGGTCTGAAGACACAACTGCAAAAGCACTGCAGAGCAGGATCAGCTTACATTGAACAGCCTTAAGATCACATTGGCAAAAAAAAGTGGTAGTATTTAAATCTCTCTGCCTAAATTATGCTAAACTCTGAAAAAAAAGCATAGAAATACCAAATATGGTATTTGGAAATAAAAACAAAAGTAAAGTTCAGTAGTTGAATCACACTTACGAAAATGGCATAGGGAAGGCAAAACGTTCCCTCAGATCAACACTCATGAAAGGTACATATTCAATGCCATTAATTTTTGAAGTCTTCCTGCAAGTTGTAAGAAAAAAAATACTGTTATAAACCTATATATCATATTTCAAAGGCTAAGTTCCAGAAGGTAACAACAAAATTAGTTTTTAAAAACTGACAAGATGCAGTGCTTCTGAAAACAAGATGACTACCTCCTGGAAATGAAACAACCACTGTATTTATTTGGGTTTGAAATGTGCAGTACTTGATGGCTCGGTCACTAAACCTGCACGTACACACCTGCAGACAAGTCACCATGCCAAGATAGAAATTATTATCAGCAACAAACCTCTTCATAAGTTCTAGAAGTCACATGTAAAACTACACTTGTCTAAATAGAATTTCTGAAGTCCCTTAAGCCTCTCATTAAAGGGAGGCTCAGGATAATGACAGCAATTAACAATGAGCAACACCTAGATTTCATCTAATTGGGGCAGTATTTTAGAACACTTTGTCAAATAACAATAAAAAAATACTGCACATGTTCACTAGTACATTTTTGACTAAAGTGCGCAGAACACTTTCTACAAAAATTAGAATCATATTTACATGTGAATGTAAACTGAGTTTCAAACAAGGAGTCAACTGAAAACGGTACGTGAAATATTTTTAAATCAAATGATGATTAAAGATGTGAAACAACTTGAAGTTCTCTTACAAGATTTAAACAACAAAAAAACCCCCGACCCCCAACCCAAAGCACCCAAACCATCCACAAACCCAGAAACATTCACTGCATGCACACTACTAGAAGAAAAAATAGTGAAATTTTAATACAGCAATTCTTAATGCTCTGCAGCTTTTCAAACACGTACATTTCTATCTTTGTTACCATATCCTCAGTCCATTTAAGTCCCCTAAAGTCAACAACCAGACTAAATGTTCTATGATCAAATCCTGGACAGTGTTGAGCATCAACTGTGTCACGATCTTTTTTTTAATACATGGGGAGGAGGAGGAAGGTTGAAACACATCAGACAATGCCTTTATTTTTTTTAAGATACATTTTATAGTCTTCAAAATTCACAATTTAGGCTAAAGGTTTTCTGGATTATTTGTAGCTTATTCCACCTATAATAAAAATCAAAGCAAAAGGAACTGGATATAACAGAAACCACAGTCCAACAACAAAATATTCCACTTCCTCAATTTCCAGTGAAGTAGTAGTTTTTTAACCTATAAAAACATCTTCGCACCTTGGCTTCTCAGAGACAGACCTTCCATGAACTCAGTCAGGTAGGTTATGTGTAACATAGAAAAATAAGGCTATGAAAAACAATCCTGGCACTCAGTTACAAGAAATTGTTTTCTAAATACACTCTAGGAAGTATGCTCTGTGAATAAAAGCCACGAATTCCATTATTGTACAGAATACAAGAATTTATTAATGTGGAGGTAATACCAGCAACGGGGTTTGTAAGAGGTGGTTTTCCAACCCTCTGTTTATATACCTTCAGCTGTTTCAATCTACTGTGTAAGATGCACAAAGGATGCGACCACAAATGATAACATTTTGGAAAAAATTGTCTTTAGCTTACCTGAGCACTTCAATCTCCTCTGCAGTGTATCTCTGACCTTGAGATTCACTAGCTTGTACTGCTCTGATTGTCTGTGGTTTATCATTTAAAGAAAAATCAGGTCCCAATGGAAAGAATGTCCTGACTGGCTGATTAGGTTTAGCTGCAGCTGACTTCTCCTTCTGAGATGACTTTGACACAGATTCCTTCAGAGCCTCTGCTCTAAAGCAAATAAAAATGCACTTTGTTTACAACAATGATAAAACTATAGTTATGGTTCAATTATTGATTTTTTTAGTTCATGTTCCCACATGTTAATTGGGATGAACAAATGCCCAAGTTGACCAACACCACTTTTCCTAAGAAAAATCAATTCCTCATGCCAGTACTTCTTTATTTTCCCATTCTAGAATCAATTAAAATAGGGTAATTTCAACTCATACGTAAGGTACTTTTGGCAGAACTCATTAGATTTTTGTTGCCTTTAAATTATGCCAATAGGAGAATTTGTTTAAGTGTTCATTATCTGGAACCTCAGAAAAAGACCACACATATGCAAAATATGGGTTTTTTTCCTGAACACAGACTGAGAAGTGCTGAAAACCAGCTTATACTGAAACGTAGCCCAACATAGTTCATTATTCACCATCGTACAGCTGATTTAAAAAGAGCTACATTGACCTTACACTAGTGTGACTTGTTTCAGATAGAGACGGTTGATTCTTATTCCATTAGATCCACCCATAAAATTCAACTGATGTTGTCAAGATAAGTACTTCCCGGTTTCCAAGCTCTCTTCCTTATGAAGGGATGCTGACACCCCGACTTAGTGCTGGCCTGAATTCAGCATTTTTACAGAAGCCAAAAAATTGTAGTAGAGTACTCCGATTTATATCTCTGAAGACTTAGGTAGTGCATTGGTAGTAATGAATGCACAGTCCTTTCCTAATTCTGCATGTCCCAAGGCTCCCAGAGGG